CGCCGCCTTCCTCCTCCTCCTCTTCAGCCCTCCGCCTCCTTCTCCTCCCGCTGGAACGGCCGCGGGCAAAGGGATGCGGAGCCGAACTCCACCGGCAGCGGCGGGCAGAGCTGCGGCAGCCCCTTTTGTGCCGCCCTCCCCGCCTGTCTCCTCCCCCGGCGCGCCCGCCCCCCCCCCCCCCGGGGTGCCGCCGCCCGCCGCCCCTCGCCTCCCGCACAAAGCAGCGCGGAGCTCCGCCGATGGGCTGTGGGAGGGCAGCGGGGCGGACCTGCGGTGCCCTGCTCCCCCCCGCAGCATCCCTGCACCGCCGTTATGGTGAGATGCGCCCGGCGACGTGCAGGAAGTTTGGCTGCGGTGCCAGAAATAGAGCTTTGCGTCTGCTGACTCTCCATCCCGCGCCCCGACCGCAAAAGCTGCCTTTACTCAGTTCAACTTTTCCCTGCGTTCTTCCTCATTCAAGGCCGGTTTGGGGAGAGGGAAGCAAAGCCAGGCAGAGCCCGAACAAACCTGGCTGCAAATACAGCAAAACATGGGCGTGGGATCGCACCCCTTGCAGCCGAGAGCTATAGAGGTCAAAAGGAAGCAACACTAGAAAACACCCTTCCTTGTGAGTTGCTGGGAATTTAGAACAACAGCGTGTTCAAAACAAAGTATTGGTGCCAGTGCCCCTCCAACCCACCATGATCTGATGACTGAGCCATGCTGTGCGCCAGTACAGGTGGCCCTCACACCATTCTTATGGGAACTCATTGAGGATCTACAAAGGATCAGAGAATTATGGAATCGCCAAGGTTGGAAAAGACCTCCAAGATCATCGAATCATAGAAAGGCTTATGTTGGAAGGGATCTTAAAGATCATCTAATCCCAACACACCTGCTACAAGCAGAGTTGATCATCAAGTCCAACCTTCAGCCCATCCCCACCATGCCCACTGACCACGTCCCTCAGTGCCACATCCACACGGTTCTGGAACACCTTCAGGGACAGTGACTCCACCACCTCTGTGGGCAGCCTGCGCCACTGCAGCACCACTCTTCCAATAAAACCATTCCACTTTAACGCTTAACAGAAAGAGGCATCTGGTGGCAACCAAGTACTAAGACAACCCAAGAGGTTCCTCACCTACAGGGCTCAACACTCAGCATCCATATGGATAACAGCAGTCGAAGGGCATGAGGAAGAAAAGGCCTAAACTGTTCAGCCAGCACCAAAATCTTCCTTGCCAAAGGGCTGTCCCAGTGCTAAGGCCAATGTTGAGATGGTCCTGGAGGCAAAGAGCACAAGTGAAGGAGAACTTTCCCCTCTACAAACTCAGCTGGAGGATGACTGAAAGCACTGGGGGGTGAGCCGGGTTCTGTAAGACTCAGTAGCTCTGCAGAAGTGCTGAGAGAAAGGAATGAGGCTGGAGGAGGAAGGAAATGGTACAATAAGTAAAGTTCTTGCTGTAGAAGAAAGGTGATTTTGTGGCAGAACTCAATGCCACGCTAACCAAGTCCTTGAGGAGCAGCACATCGCTGAGAGCACACCTCCGAGGTGACACCATCTCCATCCCCACATGACATCTCCCATCCACTGGAGGATGCTCCTGAGGACAGCCCAACTAAGAGCTGGGCTTGGATGGGCAGCTGAATTTCCATCAGATCCATGACAGCTTTGAGTGATGGCAAGGGATGATGCTAGTTTTGCTTGCAAGGGTGATTTCAGCTCTGGGAGTACAAAGCCCATTAGGGATGGGCAGCAGTCTCCCATTCCTTTCCCACAGCCAGCGAACACCCATCACAGAAGGGGAGGCTGGCACTGATGGGAAGAGAACAATGCTGGTACCCTGCTCCCAAGTGGGACCTAGCTTCCAAACCCCTGTGGCTCTGGGTTTGTGGACCCAGAGAGCAGAAAAATCTTTGTTTTTTCCTTCATTATTTTTTCATGGTCTTATGTACTTTGATGGCAGCAGACTGAGGCTCAGATGTAGCATCCAAACGCCTCCTGGTTTTTAATTTACATAGCCACCGTACCCTCTCCCAAAGGTAAAACC